TTGCTTAGCCTTACGTCGCCCTTCCAAGGAATCTCAGGAAGGCGCCGCGTAACAGTATATATGATCATGTACTCCTTGGAACCCATCATAAGCTCTTGTGTGTATTTAAATTCAAAACAAATAATGTCATGCTCTGTGTTCATATAGAATCAATGAAGAATAAATCAATTATTGAAGGTGGTATAAACCACTCATCTACGGAGTGTACATTCACCTACCTGAACCTATTTTCCACACCTGCTTACATTGTCATGATATATCTGTAAGGCTTGCATTGGGTGGAGGAGGAGGTAACATATATATTTGTTTTCAATTAAATAGGCTGGCCTGTCTCTTTTGGTAGTACTAATTCTTGGATCTCTTGTTCGTCTTTGCTTTATCCCCTTTTTCCGCTATCCTCAGGTTCTGTGCTAAAACATGTAGTGTTTTATTGGCATTTTAAACAACTTTACCACGTCTATATGTTACATGTTTTTGCCGGATGCTCTAACCATGCCACTTACTTTTGTGATGACATATTCTTTTTCATGCCTTGTGCAGTCTGCTTCTCAAGTTCATGCGGGTCAATTTGTTACTGGCTTCGTGGATGGATCTGTCAAACTATTCGATATTCGGATGCCAGAAATGTAAGATGTAGTACTAGTAATTCATGAGCATATATATGTCCGAACGCACACTTTTTCTTGTATATGGAACTCAAGTACATTAGTCGAATTGGTAGTGTGGACTTGCATTAACTTAGACCACAAGTCTTCTGTTTTTCGAGTGGGGTTAGGGTGTAGGAATTACGTCTCCTGGAGTTCGTGATTTATAGATATCAGGATAATAATGTTGTCTTTGGCATTATGAGGTGAGGACAAATTCGGACCTCAAAGATGGGTATCCGCTCTGCATGGTTTCTCTCAGAATGCATACATTAGGCACTATCCACACATGCATGTAATTTTTTGATGCATAAAATACATCAATATTCAGTGGTTTTTGACTGTTTAATTTGTGTTTGTTTAGGCTTGTTTGTGCAACACGACCTCACCCCGAAGTGGAAAGAGTTGTTGGGGTTGGCTTTCAACCTGGACTTCAACCAGCGAAGGTGATTATCATTAACCTCTTCATATCTGGCCTGTCAACTTGTCTGCTACTGATTTGTCAGTAGACCATCTTTGAAAAAAATGTACACACACATACACACTCTCTGTGTTTAATATCACTTGTTACAACAATTACTTCTTGTGACAAGTTTTTTTCACACAAAAGTTCTATATTATCAAAGCAAATGAGAAGTCATGAACTTTCTCTTGTTTCTTCTCAGGTTGTCAGTGCATCTCAGGCTGGTGATATTCAGTTCCTTGATATGAGAAATCTCAAGGAGGCATACTTGACCATTTATGCTCACAGGGGATCACTTACATCTCTGGCGGTCCATCGTCATGCACCCCTTGTAGCGAGCGGTTCATCTAAGCAACTTATCAAAGTGTTCAACCTGGAGGGTGAGCAGTTAGGCACCATTAGGTATTTGTCCACCTTTATGGCTCAGAAGATAGGATCTGTAAGATGTCTTACCTTCCACCCCTATCAAATGCTGCTTGCTGCTGGTGCAGCTGATGCCTGTGTTTCTATCTATGCTGATGAGGTCCCGCCACCATGATAACAACTTCATAGCTTCGTCTACAAACCTTCAGATTGAGAGACAAGATTTTCAGACTTATGGTATTCCTTTAAGGTGGTCAGTGGTGGATGCATTGTTGACATCTTCTGGTCCCTTCTCGACCTCTCTGAAATACTGATTGACTCACTGAGATTGCAGTTATCTTCTGGTCAGTTGCTGTCAACCTCTCTCAAATACGGATTGGCTCACTGAGGTTGCATGCTACTTATTTATTGAGAATTTGAGAGTCAGCTTCAGAGTGGTGGAAAGTTGAGAAGAATCAACATACTGGAGGGAAGCGTTGGAGAATAATTTGATACAGAGGTAAAAAGATGTAGATATCTTCATTCTTTGTTGTTCTAGTTTGTAAATTCCATTTTCTCTAGTTTCCTGCTTTAGTTCAATCTTCTCTCTGCTTAGCTTACCTTCTTTTCTCCATTCTCACCCATTTAAGTCAATTTGTACTTATCAACTAACCTCCATTTGTAATGCCTTCACCTGAATAATAATTTTAATGTTAAAAACAGTCCTCAAAAGGGATGATAGTTGGACAATCTTTTACTTTTGGATCACCTATTTTTGCTCACTTTCATATAAACAGCAGTTTAACGACTGCAATCGACTTCAATAATGAGTTTGAATAGGTTTAGCTATTCATTGACTACGTCAATAAAGCACAGCTTTTTAACGACTGATGTCCGATATTGGATCAGGCTAGTCCATTTTTTGTTCTCTCCATTTCCAAAGTTGGGTTTTTTTTTTGACGCTACATTTAAATATCAAAGGTTCAGATTTATTTGTGGTNTTAATTTTCAAAAAAAGAAGAAAATTGTTATTGCTTTTTTTTTTTCCAACGACTTCGGGTTATTACAATTTACCATTTTACGAAATATTTTCCTCTCTTTAATCAAATAAGTGACTCTATCTTTTAAGTTACGAATTGGATGGACTAAAGGAATAGTATTATATGTGAAGATATGTCGCAAACTAAATGTAACTTCAAAAAAAGAAAAAACTAAATGTAACTTCTACCTGTAATTCTCTGAGAGTGAATTTTTAGAAATCACTATTGTTTAGTGGCTATTAACTTTATATAGCTACTATTCAGTTGTTACGGCAGTGTATGCGTTGTATTCGCGCTGCTGTATTTATGAATACAGTAATAAAAAGCGCCTAAAAATTAAGGTAGTTCAACTGTACGTGCATGTATTCACATGCATCCGCGCCAAGTATTCATGAATACAACAGTCTAGCTGTAAGTGCATATATTCATATGTATTCGCGCCATGTATTCACGAATACAGTAACATAAATAGCATATTTCATTCCTCAATGATAGTATATACCATAAATACTTATTTTGCTATAAAATATAAAATGAGCTATGGAAAATAATATCTTAAAATAATTTTGGTTTATAATAAATATGGTGTATACCTTTGCCACAGGATTTAAGAACATGCAGGAAAGCTTTTAAGAACATGCAGGAAAGCTTTTAACTGAGCTATTTTCTTGCATAAGTACGTAGTCTATTGCCTTCTTGCGTTCCCACTGGTCAGCTGGTTTCAGTGCCCTGATATGAAAATTATCATTAGATAAATAACTTCGTGCTGTTATAAAATAAAAGCAATTTAGTAAAACATGAACAAGAAATAAAAGTAATTTAGTAAAACATGAACAAAAATAAAGATAGAGAAAAGGAAGAGATTCTCTTCTTCTATTGTGTGTATTTTCCTATCTATTACAAGGCCTTTATATAGGCATAAAAAGTGAAGAAAATATGTCATGGAATATGTCATTGAACATACAAAATATGTCATTGAATATGTCATTAAGCATTTGAGATGAAAATCATGGAAGAAGAGTAGACATCCACCATAATGTGATATTTATCATAACACTCCCCCTTGGATGTCCATAGATAATGTGCCTCGTTAAAACCTTACTAAGAAAAAACCCTGTAGGGAAAAAATCTTAGTGAAGGAAAAAGAGTACACATATCTGTAATACGCTTTATTTGCTGCCTCGTTAAAAACCTTACCAGTAAAACCCAGTGGGACAAAACTTAGGCTAAGGGAAAAAGAGTACAGCGCATATCTTACTCCCCCTCATGAAAACATCACTTTATTTCCCAAAGACGGCGCATTCCAATCTTCTGTCTCAACTTCTCAAATGTTGAGGTTGGTAATGCCTTAGTGAACAGATCAGCCAAATTTTCACATTAACGAATCTGTTGAACATTAATTTCACCATTTTGTTGAAGATCATGCATAAAAAAGAACTTTGGTGAAATGTGCTTTGTTCTGTCTCCTTTGATGTATCCTCCTTTCAGTTGAGCAATGCATGCATCATTGTCTTCATATAGTGTAGTTGGATTATCTGTTTTCATAAGAAAATCACACATTTCCTGAATATGCTGAGTCATTGATCTCAACCAAACACATTCCCGACTAGCCTCATGAATGGCTATTATCTCAGCATGATTTGAAGATGTGGCAACTATTGTTTGTTTCATTGAACGCCATGATATAGCAGTACCTCCATATGTAAATAAATAGCCTGTTTGAGATCGTGCTTTATGTGGATCAGACAAATAACCTGCATCGGCATAACCAATCATTTCTAACTTGAATTCATTAGAATAAAACAATCTCATATTTATGGTTCCCCGTAGATATCTAAATATATGCTTAACACCATTCCAATGTCTTCTTGTTGGAGAGGAGCTGAATCTTGCTAATAAGCTTACTGCAAAAGCAATATCTGGTCGAGTATTGTTGGCAAGATACATCAGGGCCCCAATAGCACTAAGATATGGGGTTTCATCACCAACGAGCTCTTCATCATTTTCTTGAGGCCGAAATGGATCTTTATTTATGTCAAGCGATCTTACAACCATTGCAGTACTCAATAGATGTGCATTATCCATGTAAAATCGCTTTAAAACCTTTTCAGTGTATGTTGTCACACCTCCTTTTTCCGCCCCCGCGAGGGTACATGAGTTTTTTCCAATTAAAGGACAATCGAAACGGAATTTGTTTATTTATTTCAGAGTCGCCA